AACCTTACGCGTAGGTTCTTAGCTAAGAATAGTCTTCTTTTACTAGTTAATAGTAGAGTTATAGGTATCTAGCTAGTTATAACTAATTAATATATTTATCTATTCTAGATCTATAATACTAATATTTATTTAGTTTCTTATATTTACTACTTCGAGCGTTAATATCTTAGTTTCTAGCCTTATTACGCTGCCTCTATATATTATAGAAGTTTCCTTAGCTATAATTATCTATATTAGTTATTCTTAGTTCTAATAGAGTGTATTATATTTCTCTACTACTTATAGTAAGATAAGCGTTCGCGATACTCTACTATCTATAAACGTAGTTAGTTTATAACTATATATAGATATAGGTATAGTTAGTTCTAACTACTTTCTAGTATTCTATACTATTCTAAGAGTCGTTTTAGAACTGCCTTTACTAGCGTAACTCTGTCCCTAGTAGTATCCTAGTTTTTTAACTACCTACCTTTCCTTTACTTAGAAAAGTAGCCTTCGTCTATCTTAGTAGAATAGTATATTGTACACTAGTCGTTATAATAGAAGCTCTAATAAGTGTTTTAGTATAGAATTTCCTACTTTACTACCTCTCTTATTAGTTTTAGCTTCTTATTCTTATAAATTAGATAATCTATTACCTTATAGATATTTACTAATAAAGTACTATAGAGATAATCGTTTACTTCTTAAGTATTCTTAAACTATTATTAGTAGAATATATATTCTTTTCTATAGTACGTCTATACGAGTTATTTATAGCTTTTATCCTTATTAGACTTCTTTAGCTCTTACTTAAGTATTCTAGTTATTATAACTCTTAGTTTCTATACCTTATATATTTTATAGTATTTAGCGTTATATTTCTTAGTAGATATCGTGCTATAGTAGTAGTCTTCTACCTCTTAAGTATTCTATTATTATTTCTAGTAGTACTAATAATTAGTTATATAGTTAACCTAGTATAGCTCTTTATAAGCTTTCTTTTCTTCTAGCTAGTATATATAATAATATAGTACTTAACACTTATTATACTATAAGTTTATATAGTAGTAATTATTCTTATTATTTCTAGTCTCTTTACGCTTTCTTAAGTAGTAATTATACTATCTTAGATAGTTAACCTAATATAGGCGCTTATATTACTCTATCTATTCTTTAAACGTCTAAGATACTTCTTTATTATTAAGTTTCTTAAACCTAGGCTGTTCTTAGATAGCCTAGTAGGTAATTTCCTTTATCTAGAGTTCTATAATAGTAACTTATTCTTTATAGTTATAATTATTAGCTATATATATTATAAGTCTATAGATCTAGTATTATTAATTTCTTAGGCGGCGTAGTACTTTAGCCCCTTTAATCTACTAATCTATTAGTAGTAGGTTATTCTACTTAAAGTCTTAGAGTTCTATCATCTCTTATACTAGCTTAAAAGTCTTATCTACGTCTTATCTTACTTTATTATATAAATCTAGGTTACTAAGAGTTTTATCTAGTTTCTTAGTAGAGTATAGTATCTCTACCCGTAGTATTCGTATCTTTTTCTAAACTCTCTTAGTTAACTTATTCTTTAGGTAGTCTCTGTAGAAGTATTCTACTTTACTATAGTAGAGGTATACCTTACTATTATAACGCTTCTTACATTCTTCTAAGAAGAGACTATTATTAAACTTTTCTTAGGTTTTCTTATTTTTATTCTTAGATCTATCTTATACCTTACTAGTTATATATATATTTCTATTACTATCTTTATTATTCTAAGATTATTAGCTATTAGTAATTAGTAATTTTAGTTAGTTTCCTTTCTAAGCTTCCTTTCTTTCCTATAATCGTATATTAATTCTTATTACTAACTTAATTAGTAAGTATAAATTCTTTAACTTCTTATAATATATAAGTTTATCTTAAATAATTTTCTTTAGACTATTCTTATAAGTTATACGTAAGGCTAAATTATCTTAACTAATTTATACTTAGTACTACTTAAATTCTACTATATACGCTAATACTAACTTAGTCTACTTTAGGCGAGATAACGCTTTCTTAGCCTAGCTTTTAGCGTCTACTTCTCTAAAGATACGTCC